GTCTGCGCTCTCGGGAGCGGTCCCTGCGTAGGGGCTCTTCGCTGCTACGCAGGGCCGGAGCTGGCAAAAGCGAGAAGGAGCCCTTAAGTACCCACAGGCCTTGGGAATGTCTTGTTTGGTGTTGGTCCGCCAAGACCAGGAGATGGCTATGTGGATGGAGGCCTCAAGTCATCTAACTCTGCCCTCCTCCATTCCTACCCAGTCATCTTCTCTGTCTTCTTCTCCGCTTGCGTGCCTCTGTGTGTGTGCGTGTGCGCAGTTAATCCAGGTTTCTGCTCGATTTGAAGTCTTATTCACCTGGTGCTTTTGTTTGTTTGCTCTCTTCTCCTCCTCCTCCTCCCCAACATCTCCCTGACCGGGATGCAGCCGCTGGCACGTGTGTGATCTGACGTGTGGCTTTCGGACCCCAGCCCTCCTCCCAGACAAAGTCGCTTGTCCATCCTGCCCAGCCTTGTGGAAGCCAAATAGATGTGACCTTCATCTCATTACTGCCGCTCTCAAAGAGAGAGGTGACTAATGGGGCTCCATTGTGCGCTTCCCCGTGAATGGTGTTCCCTTGATCCCAGAATAGCTCCCAACCCTTTTAGTTATTGTGGAGATGAGTCACACAAAGCCAGTCCCGTCCAGCCGTAAAGTCTTGAAGCTGTGCCCAATTTGGTGTGGGTCTGACTATCCTTGAACGGGCCAGGCACCCTCTGAAATGGTCTCGTTGCAGCCTGGCATTGAGCCTGGCCACCTGTCCCGTTCCTGGTGACATCTGGCACTTGTAGGACAGAGACAACTGCAACGGCTCCTCCTCTCCCCATGAGTTCAGGATCCACCAGCAGATAAGACACTCCCGAGCAGGAGAAAGTTTTGATTTTATTTTCCACTTTCTTCCCGACCAGTGGAAACCAAGATGGGCCAACCACGGGTGAGCTGCCCAGCAGGAAGGGACGGTCCTCGGGCGGCGAGGTCGTCCTGGCTCCACCGACCGCCCTTCGTGCGAGCAGGTCCCTTTGCCATCGCGGGGGACCGCGCAGGGCTGGCTGGCCTTGGTGTGCGTTTTGCAGTGTGAGATGACATCTGGGAGGATGGCTCCGGCCGTGTGCCGTGCACCAGCCTTCGGGCAGCCTTGCCCGGAGACCTCGTTGACCTTGTGTTTGGTTTTCAGGGCCGCCCGGGCCTCTGCCCACCAGTGCCACCCCCTTCCTCAGACCCTCAGCGTGCTGAAGAGCACCCCTCAGGTGAGGGGCATGCACACCATCATCAGGTAAAGCCCCCACCACCGCGGCCTCCTGGGGCGGGATGGGGCTTGGCTGCCGGCTGCGGCGGGCTCAGCTCGCTTTGGACTCCCGAATCCCACTTGTGCCCTGTCCTCGCGACTTTGGGGACACGGGACAGGGTAAATGGTGGTGGGCCCTGGGTATGGGAGCTGTGTGGTGAGCGCTGCGTAGTCTTGCCAACAATTTTTCTGCCTTTTACCTTAAAACTGCCACCGCGATGCCAGGCTCATGGACCCCATGCAAACAAAGCGCTGACAGGGGCAGGGGCTGCCCCCCTCCCACGCAGCCTCTGACCTCTGT